AAAATGAACAAACAATGCTTATTGTTATCAGCGTCTGTAATCTGAAATGTTTCTATTGAGAATACATACTAATACTATTGCTAAAGTACGTGAATAAAATAAATTTAATTGCCTTAGAGTACTCTCAGTAGAAAAAACAACTGATTTTGTCATTGCACAATTGGGCATCACAGGATCCAGAATTTATATTTAAGCTCGCGAGTGACGACGTTTTTTGTTGCAGTCTTGTCGGCTAAAACCCATATGACACGTTACTCCCCGCCTTCCTGCCACAATTCCAACATGAGTTCTGAGAGCGGTGATGACGTTCTCCTGAATTGGTTCGAATCCAACGACTCGGGCGATGATGAGTAAGTTATTTCTGAATTTCTACCGTTGATAAATATAGTCACTAGGTTTATTGCGAGAGTCTACTAGGTTAAATCCATTCGAGTCTACTGGGTTAAAGCCATTCATATTGCGCCATTCATGTGATTATGCACATATTATCCGTGTAACCTTTACGTTTAAACCACGTGATGTCTAATCACAAATATAAATGTTGCTTGTTAGTGAATTCCTGTCGCAAGAGGACATCGGGGAGGAGGATGAGGAGGTACGTTAAGAAGCAATACATTTTTTGTGACTGCTCCGTGAAATAATTGGTTTTGGTACAATGATTCCCACAAACGTGCTCTCACCACCGAAATAACTAATTGATTTAGAGTGCCGAGGAGGTAGGGCTAGAGAGCCTGCGACGGGTATTGAACCTTTATAACATTTGCATTACATTTGATGAATTTATGATCTCCAATAATGACATCCGATCACTCTAGGTAGAGCTAGAATTCACTACTGCAGCAGCTCCGAGGGCAACAACGGCGTAAGTAAATTACATGCCAATACACTACGTTATTATGCAATAAACTAAACATAGACAATATGTGCATTATATGTAATCGATTAGCTATAGCGCCACTACCGATGCGGAAATTAGCGAAATCGTTCAACGGATTGATCAGCTGGTCAGTAGAAAACCCGCGTTAATATTATGTCATAATAACTATACCAGACTTGAGCTAAAATTTTTGTTTCATACAGAAATGGAACGATGCAGAACAAGAAGTGACTGGATGCGGATGCCCAGAAAGACAAGAAGAGCAAAAGAGAATTGCCCTACGTCATGAAATGCAGCGGCTCGAGGCAGTGATGGCTGAATTATCGCCGGGATATAATAATAATACCACGAACATTCAAAATATAATCGTATGTTTTTATTATTATTTGGTTTCGCAAAGGGATAATGGTATCGGTTCTGGGGGTAACTAATTAATATGAAATCTATAGAATGTAATCAATGACAAGTTCGATGACGTTATGGACAAAGAGCAAGCCGAACAAGAGGTATTGCTTCAAGGCACGATAGAGTAAGTTGAATTGGGAGAAAGACGCACCTTTGAATTATAGTCATAGAAAGATGAGAAGTTAATCATTATTCCGATATAATCTTATTTATTCATAAATATCAAGGCCCACGTCTCTCGCTGACTTGGACGACCATCGTTTGGAAACCGTACGCAAAAGCGAGCCGGATATGTATGAAGCAGTACAATGGCTCCGGTGCAATCAACATCGATTCAAACGACCTGTTTACTTACCACTATATCTGGGAATCAATGTGAAAGAAGAAAGATTTACGGATGCAATTGAAGCCATTGCCGGACAAGTCTTACTAAAGGTTTGTACGCTCTCGATAACTAAAACCTGTCTAGAATCACTTTACTAATAAATGGGGTGTTTTTTTTGTTGCATTAGACGTTTGTGTGCTCAATAATAGAGGACTATAATTTATTTAAGGGTGAAGTAATAGACACGCAAGGTTTGTGTGTGAATGTTACATGGTGCGAGGATTTAGAAGATTTTACGCCGCCAGTTCCGCTCCAAGAGGCTGAGGCAGACTTTCATGTCGTGGTATGTGTCTTTGTTGTTACAAGTATCGATACAACGATACAATACTATTATTACATGCTCTTTTTGCATTACGTCGGATATCAATCGACTCAAATATATCCCCTTTACTCTCTTGCTAGCCTTACACATCCGAGAAGCCGAACTAGATAAAAACGTTACTGTCAATTTCTTTTTATTTTTAATATCAACGCACACAAGAGAATAAAACGCAAGTCGACATTTGCTATTCTTGAACTATTGCTTTCATTACGTCTTGCTCACGATGAATATATTGCTACAATAGTTGGTACACCATATACATAGACATATCGCTATATGTAATAACGAGGCTTAATAATAATAATCGGTAAAATTAAATGAGAATGTTTTGGTAATGGCAAAATCTATCGTTAGATCCAGATATCGTTATATAATACTATATCCAGTCTTGACTGCATTATTGATGATGGTATTAGTCTTCTATCCCAAATCATCATAAAGTCATCTCCACCCAAGTCGCCCCCACTACACACGTTTGGTAAATCTCTATATCCATTTGCTAGAAATACCAAAACATTAACTAAATGTTCAAGGTTCGGACAATTGACTGCTGTAACTACCCTTATACCTCCGGAACAAGGATTACGGAACACTATACAGGTACCAAATATCACTTTCCTCACGGAAGAATTATCTGGGACTGAGATACATAAATATATTTCATTTTCATTCAGTGAATTGGTCTCGTCCAACACCCCTGAAAGGAGGGCTCCGTCGTTGACAAATATTTTTCTTCTTTTTTTTGAGATCATGAAGACATGATATACGAAACAGTGATAATAAATTGACCAACCAAGGGTCCTGTTGTCGCATAAAACCGCTCTGACCATACAGCTAATCGGTGTGAGATACCCCATTCTAATTCGCACTGTGTTCGTTTTTTAGCATTCGACCGAGATCTTTTACTTGTGCATCTTTCATATCCGTGAATACCGAATAGGAGACTTTAAGAGTGGGACAAGAGCGTAATAGCTTGCCTGTTCAAATAGGTAGGTAAAAATGTCGACGTCTTTATCACTTCCAGCTCCGTATGTGGTGAAACGAACTTGTGTTGGCTCGGCCGCACTTGGATTATCTTTCCTCGGAGGTATGCAGACGTGCATAAAACACCATTGTATCCACCAAGACGGAATTGAACAGCAGGTGTGCTTTTTAAATCAAGCAATTTGTTGGCAGATCTTGCCATAACCATCGGAGAAATTGTATCCGTTTCTCATAATATAGTCAATAGTTTGAATATCGTTGACAGGCAGATGAGTCGCTCGAAAAGCACTGTCCCGTGTGTGCAGCGTATTCTGCCACTATGTTGAGAGTTCAGTCTTGTCGGGTTCTCTCCTTCCTTGCTTGAATTTCAGGGATATTTTGGGAAAGTTTGTGCTCGGAGGAGGTCGCTTTGTTGACGAGTTTTGTAGTATGGGGGGAGTGGATAAGGTTGAGGCAGAGTCGGTCACAACGGGTAACCACAATTTCTGAGACCATGCTGCGACTTTTCCGTTCCAATAAGGTCTTACGTTTATAGGTTGCGGAGCTGACGAGTTATTCATAGGTTATTGTCGGATTGTCATAGTAGGCATTGCGACTGATTCAAATATTTAACTTGGATTGGAGTGTCTGATGAGCCCTTTGTCGGTGTTTGTTGCGGATGTACAAAAAAGGCAAGTATGAGTTTGGCCTAGTTGCAACGGAATACAAGCAACACGTCTAAATCTCCCATTCATTCGCGTATGTCATCAGCGTTTAATTCCTTTGTGGGGGCAAAGAACCAGCAAGAGCCATCTCGTAGCTTGGCTTGAAGAGATGGCCAAAAAGTCGTAATACTTATTTCCAATCTTAATTACATCGTTCTCTCCATTAGACGATGGAAATTGTTCCTTATAAGCGTTATAATGTCTTATTATCTTATTGCTAGTCAACCATTTTAGAAGGGGTAATACCAACTTTTCGCATCATGTTACCGTCTCTCTTCGACTGTCACATCCTCGAAGTTTCGCAACTTCAAGCTTCAAGAGATAAAGTGGATCATAAATTCTCTGTTTACGCTGATAGAATCTATCTAAAATGGTAAGAGCTGTCTTTTTTTTTGTCGTCATTGAGATTGTAATCGCATGTGTAATATTGCACTCCAACATATAAAGTACATTGAAGTCCAGCATTGCTCTGTCAAGGTATTTTTTTCAGGTTGCTTCCATCAACCGCCGTTATGTATCTGGAAAACATGGCTTGCCTTGATACAAGATTGTAATCAGCAGCTTTTAACAACATGTCCTTAAGCCTGTCGACTCCTTTAGGCGGGCCAAAAATGAATTAATTCTGTACGCATACAACTGCCAAGCTCGCGTTTGGATATGAAGGCATCGTCGCCTGTTGCATCTCTTCATTGCTAGGCTTTCTTGGCCGGAGGGCCGTCTTCCATGTCCAATACTCCATCAAATTCCATGTAAATTGATTGTTCGTCTTAAGGTTCTTGTTCAGGAAGGATAGTTTTGGCGGATACTTGGTTCGTATTGGAATTACCGCGCGAGATTGATTTTCCCGTGTATCGTTCTGTATAGAACTCACCCTCGACGTTTCCGAAATAAGTTTCCAGATAGAACCTGTGCATGCTATTTCCGTCCTCTTCAGTAAAACAAATTCGATTTCAAACTACATCTTAGCCTAAACTCTACGTCATTGTTTGTTCTCCACTCTGTAACAAGCAGTCTCCACCTTTTCTCTCATATGACTACTCACGCACAAACACAACTTAACAAAAGATCCACACTCTTCGCCAGCTATCATCATTTAATCTGTCCAGAATTATCATCTCTCGTCATATTATCTTAACCAGCACATCGGTCTGCGTTCAATCACCTTGACGAATGGGTTTTTGTCCTGCAAACGATTGTGGGTCTACGAATTGTGAAGTATTTGAAGCATCAGTCAGTTGAGGTCTTGCGAAGAATACAGAAGAAGTGCAAACGGTAACATATTATTACCTGAGTGGTACGTATTGGATGTTTTTGTCGTCCGCGGTGACAGTTAAGTGCTGTCATCTAATATGAAATTGCAGCAATTACTGGGAGTTTGTGGTATTCTTTCCCAGAAAAAGGGCTGATTTTGCTGGTTCTTTCTAAAATATCAAATTGATCTAGTAAACTAATTGTCAATATTAATATACTATTCATCACTTAGTGTTGGTGATCTACTTACCTTAGTCGGCCGTTGTCCTCACAAATCGGTTTAGGGATATATGTTTTCTCATATAATTTACATGTTGCCTTCAGTTCAACGCAAGTCAATAAATCCATTTCCACCACTGATAGCAGAGATAGAATGGCTTTTTATCGTTTTCACTGAAGAAGCCTCGGATTAGGCTAGCGTTATCTTCAGCATAGACGTGTGATGGGATCTCGTGTTTATGTGTTGGTTATTTACAAGGAAAACGGGAAGCAGTGTATTAAACCATAAACATTTTTGGAGTGAAAAAAAAAAAAGAAAAAGAAAAAAAAGAAGAAATTACGCATTCACATGACAAGCAGCACGTGTGCAGGAAACACGTGAATATTTCGCTTTCTTTAATAATAATAATAACAATCGTTTATTCATCTTTAATAATAAGTTATAGCAAAGATATAATAAAACTAATACTTGTTAAACGTACAGTCATAACGATTAATGCAATCGTTGGCAGTAAAGGCTACAAGTGTTTTACAATCACAACAGTGTACCAACATACGAGATTCAGTCTTTAATTGCAATAAGAACTAAATAACAATGTGTCTTTACAGGAAATAGTGGCTCTGGAACTCTGAATGTTATTTCTGATGAAGATTCCTGGGTTAATAATATATCTAAGTAAGCAATAGCAAGAGACCAAATGCAGTAGAATTTATTAAAACTAAGTGTTAAAATGTAACTTTTCGATAGTACTCAAAGAAATGCTTGATGAAAAAAGTTTCCCGTACTTACAAAATCGAAATGGTCAATCCCAGAATGGGTCGCAACAGAGATAGCTGACCGGTTACCTAACAAAAAACTGATAAATATGCTCGTCATTTACTAGACATTGTTGACTCAGCATCGAGGATGACGCATACACTGCATTGCGGAGAAAATGGCGCGTGAATTGAAAAACTATTTCAGAACAACGCGTTTGTTACGTAATACTAAAGACGTAACTCTTATTTAGAGTAGCATATCCTCGATATCACTTGCTTATTCAGAAGACGAGATTATTCAATACACTAAAATGACGTCTATGTGCACTTATTCGTTATAGAGTAATTATACTGCACAATCCCAAAATGTGAAAAAGTTGTTAGTATCAACTGTCTTCTGTTTTTTGAAATTCAAATATTTTACCACGTACAGTCAATTGACCAATTTCAAATGGAGCTGCTAAAGATTTGTCAGATTTTCTTGCTTGATTCAGCCGATGCTTAATGTCTTTTCATTTTGTTATTATTTTCTGTATGCATAATAGAGGTTAAAATCGAATCGCAAACGCTACAGAAAGCCATTACTTATCAACTGATGAGACTTAATCTTCGTGACTTTAATTTGGCATTTCTCATGATTAAATTTGGATTACAGGGTACGGAACCAGAAAATCCCATCAGTTTAACGTGGTTGACTATTTATATCGGACAATTAGTTCAGCCATGACAACACGTCAACTTGCAATGTTTGGCGGCACGTGAAGAAAAAAGATACACAAGCGCCATACCAATTGCCACCCCAATGCTTACCAGTGATTATAAAAGCATTAAAAACGAAGCGGCCTTTGATTTGTTTCGTAATAAAGTTTAAGATTAAGAATTTCTCAAGTTACTGTACAAACTTTAATAAAATCGTTGTGACGAGATATTATAAAAGATGGGAATATAATTTATATTAAAATTTTTACACACAATAAGATTGTAACGAGCTTTCAGATAAGGCTACTTTTATTTGTTTCTGTTGGGTAATTGTTAGATATACACGCTGCTTATATACGCGCGCCATTTTTTTTGCAACACACTATAGGTAAGATGTAGCTAGCGGTCTGAAAGAATGTCGTTTCAGAATTACGAAATGTTAGTATCCAAGATGTTGTAAAACAGAGATACAATATATTCAGCATATAATATCGTTAATGGATATCCAGTAATAAATAGTGAAATCCATACATGATTATATAATTTTTTTTCTCCTTTCAAATTGTTGCGATAACCTTCTATTTTCGACTCTCGGTTAAGAACAATTATTAGATCAAGGCGTTAACATTCCAACTTGTTTTATTGTAACAACATCACGTTGATTACAAACCTACCAACCATTAACGTTTTCCACTCAAAGTTAGTCACTAAATGCTTTAGGAAATATTTGCTGTCGGCCGTCAATTGAGATAATCACATAGTTTAAATACAAATGTAAAAGACATTCCCGGCCATACCTTTGGTCGCAATAATCCTATACCTTATGTTACTATCGATTACCATCTCGACACTATACTGTAAGTTTACATGACAGTATTAAATAAAGTAAGTAATTAACACGATAGTGTTTTATCATTATCAATGATCCTTTCAGAACACAGAATAAGCTCTATTCATCCACGTCGACGTAGCATATAGTAAGCTGTTACGTACATTTTCTACAGAATAAGTATCTGAATTGATATAATTATATCACGTTTTTTAATATATTTTATATTAGTCAATAGTCGCGCCCTTTTAACAGCCCCCTTCATAACCAAGGCACTGTGTTTGTTGAGTGCAAATTGTGCTACAATAATCAGCAGATTGTCGGTCCGTCTGGAATTACATAATTCCGGTAACAGAAAATAATTCATTATCTACTTAGAGGTGGGATTATTCGCATAGAGTAATATTAATATACCGGGTCAGCGAATATTACAATACATTGTTCCAATCTAGCAACAATAGAAATTGTTGACTCGATTGCTTTGGTTAAAATTTATGTAACATGGAAATCGTAACCGACGTTTAAGGGGTTTGATCACTGGTCATTATTATTTTGGTGCTACCATAGTAATAGTAATCGTTTTTCGTGTTACATATCCGAGCATATGACCGCAGCAAACAATAATACTGTGGTCGATGCATTCTGAACGGAAAAGACTTGCGTCTCTTTTTTACTATAATTCGGTTGTCTGCACTCAATATCAACCGCTAACTACTACACAATTTTACACTCGTTCATTGATGATTCAAGAGAAGTCGATAAAGACACCGAGTCATACGTTGCACATATCATCAGCTTTATTGTATATTAATACTAATATATAATGTACCACCGGTGACATGCACCTGACGCATGCCATAATATTATCGCATTGTTTGTCATTGTTCTCAGATAGTGCTGACGATTTTTTCCTCCTTCCCGATTAATCCAAGTGCAACAACGTAAGGTGGTCAAACAGGTTTTTGGGGTGTTAACGGCATTGAAATAAACTTTGCTTATGCCCGACTACGTAAGATCTTTATCGCAAGGGACTTTATTAGATCCCTGATAGCGCGCCTACTTGCGAAAGCGGCAGATCAAAGAAAACGCTATTGGATAAGGTTTGCTTTACAATCAACTAGCAAATTAATTGTACGTTGTCTATCTATCCGCAGATAACGCAATCACTTGTGAAAAAGAAACAAATGGAACAATCCGATTGCAGTAAAGAGGCTTGGCCTATCACAAGCAACGTAACCACCCAAAATAGCGACAACGAACACATGAAAAACGCCAGATGGACAATGTCTTTCTATCCTTCTGCAGAGTAAACATGATTCTCGTTTGTTAATCCCTATTTAGATAGTTAATAACGTAATTGCTCGTGAATGAATGAAAAAAAAAACGCCATCTTGCTTTAAAATTATCGGCAGTGCACTCTATTGATTCTATTTTAGACAGTCGTAATGAATGGGGCGAAGAAAAAAAACGTCATTTTGCCTTAAAATCTATCCGCAGACAAGTTGTAATGAATGGACGGAAAGGAAAAATGCCATTGCGGTCCATGTTGTGCAAGGGATAACAGAATCATGTTTCAAAAGACGTTGACAAGCCTGTTTGAGCCAGTTGATACGCAATCGTCAATTGCCATTCGAGCAGAGGAAGCTTGTTTCTGTAATACAAAAACTTTTTGATGATGTGACTGATAACGTTTCCGCAAATTAGTACGCCATTCAACACATCTCCAAGAACAAAGGACAGACTGCATACTAGTGACTGTCGGAGAACATAACAGTGGGAATATTCTAAACATTGTGTCTAATTTCCGATATAATGTGAGTTACGTAATCCGAATGCATCAATGTTGTACTTACTAGCATTAATATACGGGTTTATTCTAAACTATAGAACTAGCGATTCAATTCTGGTCCTCCAAAATTTGTTATAAAGCAGCGATCCATTTGCAGTGTCAAAAAATCAAAAATCGTCCACCGTCTTGGTCAAAAAAACAAACTTAATACATTCGTTAATAAATCTCCTCCTCTCTCTCCCTCTGTCTTTCTGACTGACTGACGGCTGCCCATTTCGGTGGACCTGCGTTGGACACAGACTCCTTTATCGTTTCGTTTTGACGTTTCTCCACGATCCTGCATCGGTATGTTATACATTTGTATAGATATATATATGATGATGTGCGCTTACAGTATTCGTTTATTGATATAGCTGCAGGCCGTGAAGGGAGAACAATTATGCAATCAGTCGGAAATTAAGCGAAGGCCAGTAAGTAAGTATGTTTGTTGAGTTTCATGTATTCGACAAGAAGCCGACTTTTTGACGTGTTTATTAATTATATGATTAAATTTAGTAATAATATGATGTATGAAATATGTGTTAGAGGCCCACAAAATAAATTACTTGCTGTAAAGCCAGCCAGCTTAACTTACAAATATCGTCCATGCTTTGAAGTACTGAATAAATGCCTATTATGTAATGCCATGTGGAACGTTTAACCTTATTATTACAGCTTTCGACCTAAGCGTAGTGTAGTCTTTTGTTTATTATCCCTTAAACTGTATATTGCAGACAAATTTGCCTGTAATTTGGATTTGCTAACAAGATTGCTTTATATCACTAAGTAAACACCCCCAACATATATAGTTCTTCAGAAACCTCGAATCACGCATGCAAAAGTAAAGTTACGCGAGTTAATATATTGTCTGCCGATCGCTTGTCGATCCTTAATCCTTAATCCTAGATTTTACCGACGGAGATAATAAACGTTATAATACTCATACATTTAACATTGCAAACTGTTAGTTAATATTTATTGTAGGTATTCATTAAAAAATGTTTCACTCCGCTA